GGGGCCGGGGGGCTCCCGGGGCCGGTACGGGGAGTGGGGAGGTGTCCCGAGACGGGGTCCCCGCGCTGCCGTCGGGGGTCTTACCCGGGCTGGCACCGGGGGCGGATGGGGGGCGCTGGCGGCCGAGTCCGTGTCCCCGTTGGCACCGGGGAGCTGTGTCTGCCCGGGCTGGCACCGGGGGGCTCGGGGGCTGGGTCCGTGCCGGGGCTGGGGGAGTTGGCACCGGGAGTCACGGGGGCTGGATCTGCCCGTGCTGACACCGGGGGTCCCCGGTGATGCCGCTACTGCCCGCCGCCCCCCCCGTCCCCCGCCTTAACTTGCCCCCCATCTCAGCATCGGGGCGGGACAGCCGGTGGAGGGGGGCCGTGCCAGGGGTCTGCCCTGGCCCCTCGGTGGGGCTGGCAGGGGCCGGGCAGGCGGCAGGACCCCCGGTGCCCCTGCCACAGCCCTGGCTGGCCAGCAGCCGGGGGGGCTGGCAGAGACCGGCGGTCCCCCGCCTCGTCCCGGCACCTCTGGAAATGTCATTAGCGCCTGCCGCCCTCACGCCAGGCCACCGGGCAGCCCAGCCCTGTGGCACCGTGCCCGGCCGGGGCCACTGCCCACTGCCCGCTGGCTGCCCAGGACCCGCTCCCCACTCTGCCAGCCCAGGACAGAGCTGCCCCTGCCCGTGGGGAGCCCAGGGCAAGCCCTAGCCAGCCGTGCCGGGCAGCAGCCAGGCGTGCCCAGATGTGTGCCGGGCACTGCCACGCATGCGTGCCCCCCTGGCCAGCACCCACCGCGGCCTGGCTCATGCCGTGCCTGAGTGGGGTGGCAGAACTTGCGTCGAGCCCGGTGCCCGTGGTGGGGCTTCGGTCATCCCTGGCGTCTCGATGAGGCCCCGGTGGCCGTGGCACAAGTGAAAGCCGGGGGCCGGTGGCTGGCGTGGCTGGGCTTGTGCTTCGCACGCGGCGCAGGGAGGTGCCGGCTGGCACGCTCACGCTGCCTGCAGCTGCCCGGGGCTGCCGCGGCATGGCCAGCGGGCAAGGCGGGGAGCTGCCTGTTGGCACGATGCTCAACGGTAACCATCACCTCCCACTCCCCGGGGGAGAGCGTGCCGGTGCTGGAGCTCTCCCCCTACCCTGTGGTGGGCAGCCATGAGGGCGGTGGGCATGCCAGTGTGGGCTCCTTGAGGGGATGGTGGCACCTGCTCGGCCAGAGCCCCCCAAACGCAGCTCCCATTCACAGGGCATCACAAGAAGGGCCGGGGGCCAAAGGTGGTGGCTGGAGCAGGGGGTAACTGAGGCACGGGACCCCATGACTCCCCAGTTGCCCAGTGCATGGACTCTGCTGCCTGCCCGGGTGCTGCTCGGCTGGGCTGCCTCAGTTTCCCCAGGGGCAGGAGCGGGAGGGCTGCTTCTGGAGCAGTTTGGTTCAGGATTGGATTAATGGGGGCTTAAAAACCGAGGAGGGATGTGCCTGCCCCGTGTCCCCCCACAATCACAGGGTCATGCCCCAGGGAGGGAGTGAGGGGGGGTCCACTCGTGCTGTGCCGGGTTGCCCTACGCCGATGCTTGGGGCTCTGGGGATGCCATGGGCAGGGCCCGGGAGGGATGGCGGTGTGGGGCTGCGGGGAGGGGGCTGTAACCCGAGCTGAGGTCTGGCTTCTCTGCCCCAGCCGCGGGGCCACCAGCCAGACCCGGGCCATGAGCCGCACGCTGCTCCTGCTCCTGCTCCTGCTGCGCGGCCCTGCCGCCGGCCGCCCCCCGCCCGCTGCCACCCCCCGCCTCAAGCTGGCCTTCCCCGGTGAGTGTGGGACACGGGCAGGGTAGGGAGACACGGGGTCGGGCGCGGGTGCACCGGTGCCGTGTCAGCACCCAGCATCATGCCCGGGGGACGGGAGCATCCAGAGGTGGCCGGGGGTGGGGGGGTGCAACATGGCGGGAGGGGTGTGAAACCCTGGTACCACCACCTCACCAGCACCGGTGCTGCCCTCCTCATGGGCTGCCAGGCTTTGGCACGGGCTGCTGGGTTGCTCGCCTGATGCCAGCCCCCCCCCCAGGGCCACCTGCTTGCCCTTGGGGCTGTGCCTGCACTTGGGGCTTTACTCTCAGCCCCCCGGCATGTGCCATCTCGGGTGCATGTCTCCCCCCAGTCCCGGCTGTCCCGTGCCCAGCGGGGACACCGTGCCGGCCAGGGAGCCGTTGCCATGTCCCAGCTGGCCACCCCGTGGGCTCCAGCACGGCGTGGGGGGCTTTGTCCGGCGGCGGGTCCCGGCGAGCGCTCTCCTCCCAGCCGGACAAAGGGCTGTTTGTTCCCGCCGCGGTGGGATTAGCTCCGCGGGGCAGGGAATGGACCCTTCCCCCCAACACACCCCTCCACCGCCTGCCACCGGGGTGGGTGGTGCAGGGATGGGTGCTGGGGGGGCGCGGGGACGGGGGTCCGGCTGGCCTGGGGATGGGCGCAGCGCCGGCGTGAACCTGGTCAAG